TGAAATATTTTCAAACTCTGGCTCATTTTTGTAGAACTGATTATTTTTTTCTGTAAATCTAGTTTTCTAATCTGAATATGGTTTTTCATAGGTGTTTGACTTGCTAAATAGGAAAACAAAACTAAGAGTTCTAGAAGATGGAAAACAGCAGGTTCAAGTGGTGGGATTACAGGAACGGGAGGTCAAATGTGTTGAAGATGTACTAAAACTCATTGACATAGGGAACAGTTGCAGGTAAATCTCATTTTAATTAAGAAAACAAACCCTCACTTTGTTTTGAGGGTATCATTCAGTACACCTTGGAAGTAAAAGTCATTTCTCGTAAAAACTTTTGTTACCTGTAAATTCGAGTGACTTCTATTATATTGATACTATACTGCAAATATATTAGAAATATGCCAGATTAAATTATATAAATTTGGTTTTACTTAAGTGTTATCAACTGAAAGTATCTCATCTCCATTTAAATGATGAAAACTGGCTAAATAGTTGTTTTTTGTTGTTGTTTTTAATGAAAATACTGTGTTTTGAACATGTAAATTGAAGTTTTTATGTATCAAGATGTCTTTAATCACATTGTAGAACATCCGGTCAAACATCTGCAAATGCCCATTCATCTCGAAGCCATGCAGTGTTTCAGATTATTCTTAGAAGAAAAGGAAAACTACATGGCAAATTTTCTCTCATCGATTTGGCTGGAAATGAAAGAGGAGCTGATACATCCAGTGCAGACAGGCAAACTAGGCTTGAAGGTGCTGAAATTAATAAAAGCCTTTTAGCACTCAAGGTAAATAAAATATATTTATTTAATCATGAAAGATCTTTTACTTTTGACTTTAATTTTCTTTACTCAGTTGCAAAACAGTACTTGTTTTACCTAATAAAAAGAGAAGTCTTCAAAATTTAGATGTTTATGACTTGCAGTTACAGATTTTATTTACCCAAAATTTTTCCTTGCATACATTATTCATTCTTTTTAGATGGGATATAGGATATGTGTGTTGGCAGGCCAATTCTGAGGCTACCTAGGTAGATTCCAAGGGGCCCGAATCAGTCATTTTTTCTTATAGGAGGGCAAGAACCACAGAATGGAACTAAGAAATAATTTCTCGGAAAAACAGA